CTGGAGACTGTCATACCCTCTAGGACTCATATTGGTACGGCAAGTCTTTAATTGGGGGGTCACGAACTCTCATCATTTCTGATGCAGCGGTCTGAAGAATGAAAACGCCTTTAGTGATCTTTCCAACAATTTTTCCAACCCGAACCCGAAGGAAAAGGCCGGGGAGAAGATACTCATAAAAGTTTACGGCGGAAACAATCGTACAACTAAAGTAAAACTTGCGTTTATAAATTTTGGGTGGGTCACGAAATTCCCTGGCAATTTGTTTGAAGAAATCCTAAGAAATTCTGTAACTAAGGAAACTGTTGTGTCCCGCAGAGGAAATGCTGGGGATTTTCTTAGAATAAGACAAACCTTTGAGAAATTTAGCATTTTAAGAAACAAAGAAGAAATTCGAGGGAAAAAGAGGCAAATCATACAAAGAGAATTAAGAAAATTATAGGAAATTGTAGCAGCTATTGTTAAGCAATTATTCAAATCCTTGGAATGAAGCAAGTCAGCACCGCCAAGTCATCGCGGCCGACTCAGCACGTCCACTTCTTTCTTTCTTATCGCCAGCCAACTCATCGGGGGCCAACTCATCGGTGCTTATTTTGTAAACAATAACATTTCAAAAAAACAATGAACAAGAGTTTAACATGTATACAATTCGCACGTGATTTAGAATCAGCAAATTTTTTTATGTCTTTCTTCTAGAATGCAACTGGGATCGTCCACTATTCATATTTATGCTGGCAGTAAGTATTCGAGACATTTTCAGGCGGTCAGGGGGTAGGTGCCTAAAAGGAATTTTCAAAAAATAACCCGCATTTCAAAGTAAATTTGGTCAAACGAGTATTTAAAAAAATTTTCGATATTCGACCATTTCTTCATAAGTCTTCTACACAATTCCCACGTAAAACCAAGTTAGCCAAACATACGGACCCGCATAATTAAACGCGATTTATCTATTATAAAGGATGACCACAATTTAGAGAAGTTGATAGGGACTAATCGAGACCAAAATTGAGTGTGCTAAGGTCTTAAGTGTGAACTGATTTGGCTATTTCGAAGGGCGAGAGGAAGCACCAAACGTATATACGTAGTCAGCAAAAGTACATGTCATTCGTTAATTGTGGCGTTTAGTGTTTTTCCGGTCGAAATTGGTTCAACGATTATCACATCTCTTGTAATCCAGCATCCAGACCTAAATTTCAGTACGTATATTGCGATTTTTATTGATTCTATACGTATCCACACCTAAATATAGGTCTGCACAAATTCAATGTTACTCCTTTAGTTTGATATAGTAAATTTTCGGAACTAATGTTTGCGGGAATTTAGATGAATTAGGAATACTAACTCGAGCTGGTTATCATATAATCAACATTATCACGGAAAATATTCTTCTATGCTATAAGTGCCTAACTACCCTTTTGGCATATCTAATATTACTAGGTAATGCCTTGAGAAACTACGTAATAATACAAAGAACCATAATTCTGATTTTAAAAACACGAAAAAAGAATTTTTGAAATCTGTCACAGAAATCGTTCACTGGTGTTGATACTGTGAATGTGTAAAAGAGGCTGGGGCGCGTTTCTTTCTGATGTGCTGTTATCAAAAGATCTCTCTCGCATTGAAATGAGAAAAATTTGGCAAGATATGGAAATTTGGAATTTATGGAACGCAAAGTCGAAATGACTATGCAAACCAGTGAGAAGTATTGCGGCAATGAGGAAATAGAAATAAATTACAAATTTCATAATTCCATGCTCGTAAAAATTTGCCCTTGCTTTTGCGCTCTTCTAAATGTAGATAGGTACAATTGTCAGATTTTTAAAATGTTTTAATATTCCATAGAAGATAAAACGGGTTGAACTAGGTAGCGTATTTTACGTATCATGTAGTAATCAACGTCACTATGTGTATGCTTAGTGATAACAGCGACAAGTAATTTATATGGAACTTAAAAAGAAGACCTATTTCTAAATTTTTTGTATCACTTGCGTAAAACTTTACTAATTGTTCTGTCACTTTTCAGGAGATAATGCCCTTTTGTACTACTTTTCCTATAGCTGATTTATATTTACGTAACAAACAGGCTACTGTTACGGTAAGAGATAATACTAATATGTAATCGTTGAAATAAATCAATCTTTCTTCTTTCATTGTCTGTAATTAGGTGTATGCAAATATAGAGAAAAACGATTTAAATGAGATACTGTAATGTTGAAGGACACATAATACATATCTACATCAAAGAAGATGATTAATTTAATTTTACAGCGCATAATGACTTGGCATCCAAACGACCAAAAAGTCTCATTACCACCACCACGTTGCATATGTATAAAGCAGATGATGTGAACCGTATCACAAGAAGCACCGCAACCCCGCCACTATGATTTTGTTCCATCACTGGTGAGGTGCCCAAAAATTGACGAAAAACGAAACCTGGTTAGCCTCCTAGTGTTAATTGTCATTTGCAACAATTCGTGGCGATTACAAGATACTAAATTTGATATTTGGATCAATAGTCTATCCTCTACTTGTCTACACGAGTTTTATAGAACCACCCTCAATACGGTCGGTCCTTTACATGAAAATCGAAAGTGAAATACTTAACTTTCGGAAATTTTTGAAGTGGAAGATGTCTTTACATGCTGGAATTCTATTTCACTTTCTGTCTCAAGATAAATGAGACACCTTGTATATAAATCAATTAAGTGACATTCAAATATAAGATAACGGTACTGATTGTTGCAAAGTTTACCACAAACCCCAATTCGTCTCCCTTAGACAAGTGCAGTGTTGGAAATGCTGATACGTCAACCTTGCCCACAATGTACTTAGTGTTGTTTTACGAGCTGTGCAGTTTACTTCCTGGTAGTAAAGTAGTATTTCCTTATTCTGCATTTTTTTTGTTACCCTTGAAGGTTATATTTCCTTAATCTGAACTTCTTGGGCCGCCATCAGGGCATCCGGTAGAATGCTCGAACTGATCTAAGGAAATTCCTATCTCTCCCACAGATGAAAAATTCCTACCTCAGCCCAGGTTCGAACACCCGACCTCCGGCTATGTAGCCCAAAGCTCTACCACTGAGTCACATAGTACACACGTAGTATGTTGGCGAATCGCTGTCTTCTTGGACATTAAAATCGTTTGCCTCCATTTGGGATGTCTCGTTCGGACTCGCCGGAGCTGCCGTCAAAAGGGCGAAGTAGAACTTGTTGTTGCAGGTCTATGGTCTGTGAGTGGCATTGTCTGAACGTTGCGAGCTCAAACCGCCCCGTGGTCAAATTTTCGATCTCCATACTTGCTACTTTGCACACTTGAGATCACTTCAAAATGTAGCACTTCACTGGGACCGGAACCCTTGTGGTATCGCGGCAGAACACTTGCACTAACGCGACACCCATTCGTTGAAAGTTGAGTTGAAAATGTAGCACTTGCTGCGACTGGAACTCTTGTGGTAACGCGACACCTATTCGTTTAAAGGCTTGAAGGACCAAATATAGCGTCATCCGGCTCGAAGGACCAAATGTAGCGTTAGGGTTGTAAATTCTAAGCTTATCCAAGTAAATCTTACACGAGATAAAATTCGGTCGGGGATTATCTAAGATTGTTGACTGACAATGTTTATTGTAAGTATTTACATGCTATTAAATCAAGTGCCGGATTTAGGGTTTCTGTCGCTGTGGGCAAACATTTTTTGCCTCCCTTGACATATCACTATATCACCATTATTACAGCGCAAACGCTCCCTTTGAATAAAAAAAAGTAAGGCATTCATTGGCTATATTTGCAAAGCAATGAATGTACTAACAGATTTTATTTTTGCTTCATTTCATTTACTGATTCATCGTTTACCTAAAAAATTTGAACGCATTTTAATTTTCTGTTTTCCTCCAAATATGCCGCCCTTACAATTTTGCCGCTGTGGGCAATCGCCCATGTTTGCCCCTTATCTAAATACGGCACTGATTAAATCACAGATCTTACTTAGCCTACGTCAATGTTAGTATGCAGGAAATGCTGATACATGCACCTTTCCAACATAAATATGGTAAATTTGAAATGTCTAATGAGTGACTCCCAAACTTTTCTGGGATTTTTCGGTTCCCTATGCATCCCTGTATATTGCGCATATCATAACTATTTACTGTATTCGTAGATACTTACGTTGCGAATATACAATTATAATGTTTTAAGGTACTTTAATATTCGCCTGTAAATAGGTATTAATATATTCAACTTCTTCGTATGTTTCTGCGTTTCCCTTATTTTTCCGGTTTAGAGACCATTACCAATGAATTAGTTCGTAAGTCTACAGTTATGATGCTACCGAAAGCAAACCCGAATTAGATTTTTGTCATCAAAACTGAAATCCATCACACCATAAGTTGGTAAAAAATACGACTTAAAATTAGTCTTTTTTGATCTATATAGTATACTCCTAATGACGCCGAGAATTATAAAATAGATAGAATCAGTTTCTGGTTTTGCAATACAATTTTCTTGTTGAGTTTCTTTACTTTATCTTGCACCAAACAATTCTAACCATCATGGCTAGATCTCATGGTTAAGATCTTCATTTACAAATTGATCGATGTCTGTCTTCTTAGTGCTATTCTGATGAGATTCTTTGTGTCAAAAGAGCCCACTGCTATCTCTTGGACTTTCTTTATTTTCCCAGAGACATTAGTTAAAAGATGAAATTATCCAAGTGATTGACGCTTACAAATAAAAATAACAATACGGACGACGTTGTATTTTTCAATAAACTAATTAATATTATCGCCACAGTCTCTAAAATCTACAACTATAAGTGACCGCAATGGATTTTTTCTATTTTCCGGTGAACGAAATAGGTTTGCTTTGACATCTCTCGGGTTAGTTTGTTATTGTTGTTCTGTAACGATGTGTCTGGAAAATGGGGTTACGATGAAAGCTATTTTATTCAAAGTAATAACGTTCAGGGCATTTTCAATTTTCTAACCTTACGCTTTTGTTTCAGGCCGAAGATCTGATAGATGACTTGTTATCGTTTGAATCGAGTTCGTTAGCTTCAGATGGTTTCAAAACGTCCGATAATTCGTTAACAGCGACTGAAATTAGTATAAAGAATGAACCAAATTTTCTCAGTGACGCCGAAATTCACGCACTCGCAAAGGATCGCCAAAAGAAGGATAATCACAATATGAGTAAGTAACAAATTTTGATTACGTAAGACCGCTTACAAATAGGGCTTTTATATTATATAAAATGAACCACCTTGGCCAAATTCTATGAGAAAATTTTTTTCCCGGTCGATCTCAGACAATTTATTTTTCCGGCCCAAAAATCGACTACTCCCAAAGTTCTCGGGAAAACACTTTTTCTTATTAATTTTGGAGCGTAGAATCCAAAACGATTCGTACCTTTTCGATTAGACCTCTCAATCAAAAGTTATGGACAAAAAACCAATTTGGAAAAAAATTCAAAGGGTGTAACTTTTGATCTAGTAGCCCAATCTTTAAACTGTTTGAAATTATGGATTCTACGGGCCAAATTCTATAAGAAAATTTTTTTTCCGGGTCGATCTAAGACAATTTTTTTTTCGGGCCTCAAAAAAAGGCAGTGTATACACTTCCTTTTTTACCAAAAATCGACTGCACCAAAATTTCTTGGGAAAAGACAGACTTTTTCTTATTAATTTTGGTGCGTAGAATCCAAAACAATTCGTACTTTTTCGATCAGACTTCTCAATCAAAAGTTATAGACTAGAAACCAATTTCGAATAAAAATTTAAAGGGCTGTAACTTTTGAACTAGTAGCCCAATCTTGGAACTGTTTGAAATTATGGGTTGTACAGGCCAAATTCTATAAGAAAATGTTTCCCGGTCGATCTCGGATAATTTTTTGTTCCGGCCTAAAAAGAAGCAACGATAGATAAATCATTTTAAGGGATTGTTACTGGAATGCAATAGTGCGACAATAGCCTAAGCCCTATTGGGCGAAACAAAAACAAAAAAAAAATGTTGCGGTGACAAAACGTTCTCTAAATAACAGCACACCAAGAACAGGTTCACTATGGGGGACGATGAGGTGCTCATGTCATTTAAAAAAAAATTCAATCTCAAATCCAAGCAGCAGAAAGGAGGGTAATCTAATCATCATACAAATCAATCATACAAATGCTTCATTAATGGGATTCAAGGAAGGGGGTGGTTATATAGTTCATTTTGTAAGCGCCACCAAATTTTTTGTCAGATTTTATGTAGTAGCCAAGGAATCATTGGATTATTTCTACCAAAGTAATTCATTTTAAAATACAAAACAATTTCACATAATTTATTATAACTGAAACCACAAGCGTGAAGTTCGCTATTCATCCAATCTTTTTACACAGTTTACAATATTTCGTCATTAAAATTCTAATTGCTAAATATGCATAATAAACGTATTTTTTTGAACTTGGAAAATAACAAAGTTCATTTATAATAACCATTCATAATTATTTCGCCAAACGAATATTTTCGATCGCCTCGTACATAAAACGTGTAGTACGGCAAAATGGGTGTAATAATTTTAATCCACGCTTCTGTAGTTACAAATTAAGGATCGTCCTTGCTGGTGCCGTAGCATACGGCATAATGAAGGTTATTAAAGAAGTGTGTACTTAACGCATTGCGTTTTCCATCAACTTCCGATTGAACGAACCATATTCTTTACTTAAGATACGAGTTTTTTTAAACTATTCGGTAATAACAGCGCGAGTAGCCTCATTATTCAAGGATAAAGTGACTATTACCTTTTTTGTGTGATATGAAAATTAGATATCCATCAGTTCACTTTGAAGTGGATTCGATTTCAAAAATGTTTCTGAACATTGACCTGGTTTTCAAAAAAATCACTGAATGGCTGGCTGCATTATATTTTTAATAATAGGTATAGGTCAGTTACGAAACACATGAACCGGAAATCGGAAATCGTAGATACCAAAGTAGAGAAACGACACCGGCATATCAGGAAAGAAACTTCCGTTGAGGTCCATGAAGTATTCAGTACCAATTGGGCAAAATGGAAAAGTGTACCGGTATAATTATATGCTGTATTTGTTATATCTAATGCCTTTAATATAGTTTGTGCTCTTTCCTTTATCAACATGGTAAAAAGAATTATGGTTGGTACGGCGGTACCCAAGTATATTTTGGAAACATTTGTGTACTTGTGCTAGGATGGAGTGAGCAGGCTAATGGATACGTTCAAATTCAACGTACCTCTTTGGCTTTTTGATACCACATGATTTTGTGCTATTCCTTGGTAAGGGTGAGGGTCACAAATTGTGTACCTTTATACAAGCCATTATATGGTCAATTTTTAAAGTTACTATGGAATTATTAGAAATGCCTCAATGAATTGGGTAAAGATCAGATCGATGCATTTCTACAGTAGAAAGTTTGAGGTGTAGGTTTGAAGAATGAACTTATTTTATCTCGAAGAACGATTTTCATGGATTTTCGTAACGCAAGATCAATTGTGTGCATCATTTTGCTTATAGTAAGTACTTTTGTATTTGGGCGTAGATGAACACTTACGAGGGGTTTGTGTTTACCACAAAATATTCCTACTTTTTCATAAGACGCTATTTAAAGTTAAACAAAAGCACCTGTTTTGATTTCAAACCTTACAAAATTTACATTTTAAAAACGGAATTTTGTTTTGGCGAAATACAACCGTTGCCCCATATTTTGTTAATAATTCCAAATTGTTTGGTCGTATCTGGCGCAACACCTCTCGTAATACGTAATAGTGGATTGCAAAATAGTTGAACATTTATACTGAGAGTTTGTTTTCCATTTTCTTGCAACACCTCTATCTCTATTCACAGGGAAGCTCGACCATGCAGAACTTAGGCACACCAAAGGCCCATTGTGCCTACCCTCTTTGTTTCGCAACTAATTTCAGAGCCGGTTCCTCTCAATAAAGGAATAAGTTGCTTCACTCTCCCTGGTTTCACATAACTGTCGCCAAGGAGCTGATGTCTGTCTCTGATCAAGGTCACAGTGACAGACCACATGCTCAGTAGTGTCATCTGCCACAGAACCTGAACATGGGCCCTCCTACAATCCTAATGTTGTGCAAGTGATAGTTGACCATCCAGTGTCCCGTGAGAACACTGGTGATTTTCCTAATCCGGTTCTATTCAGTTTTAGAAGCTTAGAAGACCCAGATTTGCCAAGGGGCCCTGTTAAAAAGGCAGTGGACTGTCTTGAATCCGGTTGCTTGTTGACACCGAGTTTGAAATTGACTTTAATCCTGGCCCTGACAACAGAGGGAGCAATTCGTAGGGTAGGCTCGGACCCTGACCCCACCACTGCTTTCACGAGCCAGCTCGGCCTATTTCCTCCTATTCCGCAGTGCGTTGGCACCCTTTTTACTTATTCTCAATCTGCCCTTTCCAGGTCAAGCGGGAGTCTATGATGACTCCCAAATATTTCCTGCCCTGGTCAGAACCATTTGACGTCCCCGGAGAATGAGTCTATCAAATGTCCGCCCTCCTTCTATTCCTAAATGCAACAACCTCGGTCTTTTGCGGGTTAACGAAGAGGCCATGGTTACTGCACCACCTATCCACCTGTTCAAGATCCGCCTGATAAGCTCTTTAGTACCAGGTATCACAGCAGTGGAGGCAACACGCCACCCTGCGGTCATCCTCTATTAACCAATGAGCTCATCTCCGTCGTCCCGATTGATGATATAATGACTGCTTCCGAGCATGGCGCGGATTCATCCTGCGATTGACCCTCCCCCTCCAGTGCCAAAGCTTTCAGTAGCTTCATTCACTAATTAAATCCAACGTACTGTTGTTAAACGCACCCCCTATATTTAAAATCGCTCCCAAAGCTCCCCCCTTCCGCAGACATTCCCTTCTTCGGCCTGCACACGAGGTTATGAAAAGCAGTCTCCATGGACATACCTGCACGTTGGAATGGATGTAGTGGTTTAAACACCAGCATCCCATTCCTTATGTACAGGTAGAAATAATGATAGGCTGATGGGCCTATCCTTTGCCTTGTCATATTTGGCACGACCCGGCTTATGTAGGTACAGCACTGTTGTATTTCTCCATGTTTCTGAGATATACCCTAAAACCAGGGAGGCTCTAAAGAGGTGGAAGAGCAGCGGCTCCAGGCCCTTCTGCAAATAGCAAGGACCGTCCGGTCCTGCACTCTTAATTGGACCGAACGTTATATACAACTCTACGTTGGCGTTGCGTTTCCTCAAAGCCACCGCATAAACGGCCATCTAGCTCAGGGTTGGAAAATAAAATATAAGCTTGAGATCTGTCACAGCGGTGGTTTGTTCTGGGCATTTGATCTTCGTCCTTCGTCGCATCTTACTAATGATTGAGCACCGCTCAATTTCTAGTAGTAATAACAATAAAAATCAATTTGGAAACCACGCGAAACATTGGTTTATTCTTAAAGAGCACACAAAATACAAAATACTCTCCCAAATATACCCAAAATTATAACTTTCGTTACTCACAAATCTTCATTATACAATTGAAACCCCCTGTTTAACAACAGAAGAAAGACAAAACGCATTTATATCCTCGCCATGGAACTTAAATAGGATAGGATAATTAGGGCGGAAACAGCACCATATTTTCCGATACCGGCATAACAAAGCAGATGCGTATCACTCGGAAAAAAATTGCACAAAATTAGCACAAACTTCTGTAGTACAAGAAAAACAAGGCAGATGAAGTCCCAGCGTTCACGTGAAGTACAAAATTATTGATATGATGAGTCGTTTTTTCGGCGTTCGTTGGGATAGAGCTGAAAATTCTACCCAACATATTTTTACGCCCCTCTGGATGTTATAATAAATTTAACCCACACAGACAAATGATATTACTGAACTTGAAATTCTACTTCACAATTAATAAGAAAAAATTACCATTATATTTGATTTGGGTTCACTATCATTCATAAAAAATACACAAATTTGTTCACAGGATCGATCGCTTCAGGAATATTAAAATGACTGAGCGTAAATCTTTAAACAAAATCTCCAAAACGATCGACTCCTATGGTTACACAATGCAAAAAAAATTGTGCTTCAGATTTATTAGTTATTCACTGCAGTATGGGAATGTCAAAAATTACCCTTATAACTTAGGGTTTTAACAGCCAACCAAAGCACGAATTATTTG